AGAAGGTTACGCAGACAGGGATATCATGTTAATTTTTGTGCCGTTTAGCGCCAAGATATTCCAGCCACGCCTGAAAAATGGGTTTTTGAACGGGCGTCCTACCGGCCGCCCGCGAAAACTACGGTCCGTAAAATAACTAACTTAGTATTATAAATATTCTGAGTGATATCTAACGTCCCTATAAATTCAGAAATATTTTATAAAAAAGTTCCTAGTTATGAGATTTTTTGTGACCGTGAAATGTCCAGTCATACATCATCGCATCAGCACACTTATTCATGGCGGGTTGTATTAAAAATTACTCGAAAGGTGAAAAGGTTTCTTAAAACTAGGTAATACTCTCCCTTCACGTATCAAATTTGAGGAAGACGAAATTTTCTCCCACATAAGTAGAAAAAGGTTCATTTATAGGCATTTTTTAATAAAGTGTGTTTTAATTCATACAAGGTATCCAAAATCGAAGGGAAATATGAATGCTGCACAAGTGAATTATACAGACGGTCGAGAAGAAGCTCGTTCGGAAGCCGGTATCTCGACGTGAATGGAATATATTGGCGTAATGCGACACGATCATTTGCATAACAACCCTACTTAAATATTCTTTTCGAATAGAAAACGCATTTGCAAATTTCGGTTAACATTTCATTTCAGATTTCACTTAACGGATTTTCTTAACTTTTCTACTAGCCTCTAATGAATCAGCACCCCATACGTATTAATGGTCGACCCGTGGAACCCCCGTAACCACAATTACCCTAGCACATGTATCTACACTTCCAGTGAGCTGTAGGGACCGTAGAAGTGTCGACTGTAAGGAGGATTCCCTCATCGACCAGGACATCAGTATTAACTCTGATACATTCGTCTGAACAACTGGCACCGCGTACACAGCTGTCCGATGGACACCGGCTACCATTAGGCTGCATGGGGAATTCGCCGGCTGCTTCTGTCAGTCGCACAAGCCCCACAGGTACAAAATTCCGTAAAGCCTCATTGGCTACTAGCATGTTCTATCATGATAAAGAGAGTTGGGGGTCCTGGGTGCTTATGTTGGGGATTACGCGTGGAGGTTAACGACGAGGACGATATCAATGAAGCGCACATGCATGAACAGCTTGGCTCACCTCCCCACTCTTTCTGGTTTGGAGGTGGGTTGGTTTGTGCTAAACAATGCTTAGGTTGCCTTTCAGTGTGCGCAGATTCACTTCGCTTGGGGGGCCCATGCAAATGACGTATTCGCTATTCTTACCCCCGAGCTATTTTATCCCACCTAATGGGAGCCGACGTCCATCGGATAGTAGTGGACTCGGTGGTAGTTGTCCAGATTGGTGTACACGGTGCATCATCTCCTGGTCAATGGGGGAATCCTCCTAGCAGTCGGAACTCCAACGGTCCCTATAACTCACTGGAAGTGTGGATACGGATGCTACGGTAATTGTGCCTACGGGAGTTCCAGAGGTGGGTCATTCATACGTCTTGGGTTGTTATGCATTAGAGGATAGTAGACAAGTTCAAGAAAATCAACTAGGTGATATCTGACCTACGTTGAGGAAGCAAGTCATGATTTATAATGAATTCATGAAAGCCGACATACACATCAATACGCCCGACGTTATTTCCGTTTCGTTTGTTCAGATTACTTATTGCCTCGCCGTTGCTACCTCCAATTTCCTATCGGCAGAACAGTGAACAAGGTAGGCACAAGTGAAGTCTGGCCGTACAGTATACAGCACTTCCTCCGACTCAAGGCCGTTTCTACGGCCATTTCCATCAATGGAACAAATTATTATATGCCTGCAGAGATCAGTCCTCGGCCGTCCATATCGGTCACATGATGCTTACATGGCTTAAGTAATTCCAGTCGGCCTAAAGACGTAGTCGATGTAGACTTGGACATGCATGCATAAAGCCCTTGTGCGCTGCAAATCACCTTTTACTTATAATAGCTCAAATTACATCAAATTGTTGCTTTGGTGCTGCAGGGGATAATATGATGAAAGAATGAATTTTAAAAGTTACGAGTGGACTTAATGCTATCTGAGCTCGGTGCCAGTTGTCCATATGGATGTATCAGAGTTGAAGCTTATGTCCTGCTGAATTCTAGAATCGTCCTTACTGTCCGCATTTCTACTGTCCTTAAAACTCATGGGATTTGTAGATGAGGATGCTACGCTAAGTGTGCTGACGGGAGATGCGCAATTGGGCCATTTGCACGTACTAGATTGTGATACACTAGGAACTAGAAGACAAGGTAAAGAAAATGGATTACGTGTAATTTGATGTACATTTAGGTAGAAGGTCATGAGTTAAAATGGATTCATGAAAGCCGACACCAACAACCTAAAATAATGCTTCTTTACGCCCAAGGTCATCCCTCATCCTCGGTCGTAGATATTGGATAAGTGATGCTTAGCTGGCTTAAATAAAGCAAGTCGGTTAAAAGGATCGGTCAATGTAAAAAAGAACAGGCATGCATAAAGACCTTGTGCGATGCATATGCCCTATGCATAATTACTCGAAATTCGTCATTTATACGGGCTCACATTGTCGCTTAGGTGTTGTAGACGAGGAGATGAAGGAAGAACGAATCTTGAAAGATACGAGGAATGGACTTAATGCTTTCTGAGTGCGAGGTTCCGTCTATATTCTGACTGAACATCCCATGGTCATAGGGTGTACTTAATGATCCAGCTACATCTGGATCCTCATTCCACCATCTGATGTAACGAAATAACATTCTCGTTGGGCTTAACATCTCGTAGGTCGTCGAGTTGATATGTGATGCACTTCAAGGGCTGAATTGTATCGAATGGTTTCGGGTCACCCTGGACCTGAACAACGGCGCAGCTGCCCACCGCCGGTCACGGTGGTGGTCACGTGTTGCAAAATAAGGTAACTCTTAGGTAAGGCAAATTGAGTTAACTCAACCGTTTGATAAATAGTCCGAGTTTCATGAGACATGCGGCTTCCGGTGCGCTCGCTGACCACTCTCCATCGAGATTCTGACTGGAAGTTGAAATGTGATGGCCCCACCCCCTCAGTTCTCCTGCAAACGAACACCATCGGGCGTGTCTCTTGTGACACCTCTGAGACGGTTGCCACACTGCCGCAGCTGGATCCAGTCAAGGGCTTCCGGGTTCATGAACCATGGCGGACACGACGAGGATTGTGCTCGTTTTTTCTCATGATTTTCTATGCCCGGTACTAATTCGTCAGCACTGCACAAACACTTACTTCCGCAGTGTTTTGACTTTCTCATCACCCCCTGCCGAAAATCTCCTACCCCCTGTCAACATGAACCTGTCGTGCACAGTGCTTGTTTCCTTACAAAAAGCTCGGATTCTATGAAGTCCCCGCCCCCACCGGGCTTCATGTTCAGAAGTCTGTTTTATTGCTCGACCTACAGATCGTTGTTTTACCTCAAAATGTCAATTGGGTATATGTGAATATTACTACTATAAATATGATATCTGCTAAAACGCTCCCGGACACCAGTATAATTTCCTTCTTCATAAAACTCCTTTTTCAATTCTATTGTACAATTGTTTGCTTCAAGCAGACCTCCAGACCAAAATTACGGTAACTTACCTCACTGTTTAAACCAGTCTTCACATTACACTAATATATTCCTCCGGTCACTTCAAAATAAAGCTATTACTATTAATGACAGCAATGCCTATTCAGTCTTCTCCGTCTCTGCTGCTACTTATTACCGGTTATGGGATGCGGGCTCCGGGCTTAAAATTGTCCCAGTGGGCCTTGAATTAATTCAGGAATCAGAGTGTGGGAAACGGGCAAGGAACATACTGTCGAACCAGTGTCCCCTAGCTGGGCCATTCGGCGACTGAAATGCAGAGAAACACTTGTCGTGACTTTTGAAGGATGCGAATGTTTGTAGTATTCTGATTTTGTTTTCTGTATCCTGGAGGAGACTAGCATCCTAGAAGCGCTAGAACACCAATGAGTGCTAGTCAGATATGTGTAAAATTTTGTCGTAAAAGGTAATGTTCTCACGAACTAACGAGTTATATCTCACGAGCCCCTAGCCTTAAAGTCAGCAAGTACACGGAGCAGTGAATAATATATAGATTTTGAACGTTAAGAACATTGACAATATAATACCACAGCGAGCCCGCTAGCAAGACGGGTTGTACAGGTGTGTTGTTTCTCGTCACATTCAAATGACCAATCCGGTCAAAGAAAATGGGAACAAACTGTTAAAGGTAAATTAGTCCGGTACCTCACCACAGTACCCCCCTACTAGACCGGAGGGCGACGTAATACGGCGCCGGAGGATATGCATAAGTCTAGAAAAAATGCATAACTAAAAGATCCGGGAAGTGAACGTGACGGCCACTGCGAGTTATGTATGCAGGAGGTACAGTCGAAGAGGGTTGACTGCGTGCTATGGAGGAGGATGATGCTGCAGTTGGATGTTGTAGACATGCAGGGAGAGGAAGTATGCGGGAAGGAGGGGTTGAGGGCAAG